CTGTGAAACCACTACATAACAATTTGGCGACGAGGAATTCGGATTCATACGGAGGAAGAAAAACCTTTTCGTACTACATATTATATATATATATATATCATACTTTAGATCGCTACATGAGAAAAAAAAAGCTTAGACAATCAACGTTCAATTACCTTCTCTTTTGAACTCCTCCTGCCCATATCTACAAAATGTATTTTTTGTATCCAAAACGTATATCAAGTGGCAACGCTGTTTCATGCTTGAACACAATCTCCAAACCATCTTATATCTTTATACATGTTCTGTCCCGGATACTGAACACATTTAGATTATAAATATAACATACCTTAAAACTCTTACACACACGTTTTCCTTGTCAGCAAATTAATTTCTATATTCTGTTGTCGAAGCTGTAAAGAATATGCCGACAATTTTTGCTACTTTTTAAGCGACCGAGCTCGCGTCTTTCTACTTTATATTAACAATCGACCCAGGGAACATTCACAGATCATTAGTAAATATACATGCAGATGGGAGCACTTCCAAAAATCTAGATAAGTGGGGTACGGATACCGGTACCAGTTCGCGAAGAATTTCCAGGAAACAAAGAAACGGTAGTCACACTCGCCACGGGAAACTGGCGGGATATCTGACGCAGTTTTTTTTCTCTTTCTTAACATTTTTATTTTAGTTTTAGGTTTAGAATTTTTTTATGCTTTCATTTTTCAATTATTGCTATACAACTAACATATGTGGCAGCAGATTCGAGACATGAGGCCGTCCATGCGACGGTGGTGCGACCTCTACTGCTACGGTTTTCTCGCCGCCGCCACCCGTTGCAAGACTTAAGGACCCGGCGCCTTTCGGGAAGACTTTCGCCTGCGTCTTAGGACCGACTGACCCGTGCTCGACCACAAAACAGTGAACTGAAATACGTATGACAACACCATTGTGATGATGATGATGGTGTGGCGCGTGACTGAGCGGGAACCACACCTAAGAATACCAAAATACCATTTTCATGGATGGATATATATATATATATATATATATATATATCTACAAAATCAATATAAAATTTTTTAAAATTGATGCAATCATTATATATTCATTATATTTTTCTGTTATAAATGAATAATATTACGAATATCCAAATAATATTTTCTCGGGTCGTTATTATATAATTAATTGGCACAAATAGTTCCAAAATGGCCCTGAGATAGGAAATATCTCAAAAAAAAAAAAACACACACACAAAAACACTGGACTGATATCTTTGTTCGCCAGTCCCTAGCTCATTGAGGGGAGAGAAAAAATTAAAAAAATAAAAAAAAACCGCCGTATCAGATAGGGAAAACACTGATCTAGATGAGTATTTTCTGGCAGCTGATCTCTCCCCTTATCAAGCTCTAACAGCTCCAGTGATTGAGAGTATGGAACTGGCTAGGTGCATTCAATACCTCCAAAACTAAGACTGTAATGTTTCATCTCTGAGCGGATGCTGAATATTATCAGGTCATCCTGAACGGTTTGCATCCTCAATGAATCTTCTTGGTTTCAACGTCTATTTTTGACTAAAGTTCACCCCCAGTCCTCAATATATGATCTATTGATGAAGATGCTATAAAAACGGTCAGTTCATTCTACTTCTCCAGAAAGTACCAAACTCCTCCTGTCACGCTCCATCTTTACAAGAGCGAGATCAGACCAAAAATAGAATATTGACGCTATATCTGGGCTAGAGGTGTTTCAAATCATTCTATCACTCCATTTGATTCCTTCTGCTATGATTTACCTCAGATTAGACCAAAAATGACGTAGTGGCACTCCACCTGGACTGAGGCTAGCCAGTCTGCACATACAGGCTCGACAGAGGTCAGAAGTATTTGCACAGCCTTGTGAGTGATGTATTATTTTCGACCTTACAACCTCTTTTCCACAGACGACTGATCGCTATTTCCACGGCAAATGTTCCAAGCTACAACATTCCACTGCAGACCTTTACATCTAAAAATCTACAATGCCACATTCACAGGGTTGAATCATTGTCATTTCATTGGTAAGAATTGGTTTGAATTTCATTGAATTACTTTTTTTTTATTCTTTTGACTACTGAAGCCAGTTTTAAGATGCGCCAGGCCATGCACACTATAGCGAACCAACTTCATTCTCTTCATATTCCATTGGTCAGATGAAAGTTTCATTGGAACAGCTTCTTCCCATGAGCCACTCCTTTGTGGAACCGACTTCCAAAAGGATGTTTCTCTGATCACTAAAGTCTTAACCTGTTCAAGCTAGAATTAACCATTATTTTTCCCTACATATCTTCAGAAACTATACGTCTTACCTCTTACTCTGTAACCCTCTAACTTGAATGGCTCTTGAGCTATGTACAGAGTGAATATCTCTGTAAAAAAAAAAAAAAAAATAGACAGTCCCTTTACACATCAAGATTCAGGAAGTAAACCAGTAACTAAAACAACTTATAAAAAGTTTTTCTTATATTTTTAACAAAAACTGTTTCAATAAATGTTTCCTACTAATATACACACATTGTCTCTCATATATGTGTGTGTGTAAATATATAGAAAAATAGGAAAGAACACGTTAGGTAAATAATCCGAAGTTTGTTTTTATTTTTAAAAAACAGTGCTCAATACAAAAGTAGAGCCTAGATTCCAAAAATTTAACTTGAGGATGAATCAGAGCTTGATACTTTAATTCAATTTAATTTTAATAATTACATTGAAGTTTTTGAAACAACTCTTTATGTAGAATCCTATTTTTAAAAGGAATATATATATTTATAAATAATATATATATATATATATATATATATATATATATATATATATACATACATATACACACATTTTGGACTGATTTTAATGCGAATTAAGTTTAAGCGTCTGATGATTTTTTTTTTCTTTTAGATTTGACAGACATTTGGGCAATATTATTTTTCACCAATAACACTGATTTATTTATTGCTGACTGATCCATCTTAAACACCATATATATATATATATATATATATATATATATATAAAAAGAGAGAGATAGAGAGAATTAAATATTCAACTTTTCTGTCCGATTTGGAGTTAGTTTTGTTAATGTGTGATATCAACTTTTAAACATTTAGGAAAAATTTATTAAGAAAAAGATTTCTCTAAATAAATTTGATTTTACTATCAAGCCCGCTGACGTGTAGATACTATATACATGAGACTCAGACTAGACAGATAAATTGAACATTTATTTGTTGCTATAAATGCTCTATCTCCTGCTACTGAGCACTTTAATTCCAAAGACTGCTTGCCTTAAAAAATGTTATCTTCTAGAAATACTGTTCAACCATTTTCTCTGGTAAAACAGAATCTCTCTTATTGAGTATATATTTGTGTGACAGATTTCACAGTGCACAGATACTACACTAATCCAAGGCAGATGTGCCAAGCAGGGAACACTGATCATAGGAACAGTACCCATTTACTACCCATCCATGCCAGGGAACAACACTCTGATCCTATACTTGTCAAGGCAGGGTGGAATGCACAGATGCTAGGAAAAATGCACAGATACTACATTGTCCAAAGCAAAGATATTGAGAGCAACACACTGATCCGAGAAAGAATACACACATAATATGCTTATCTGAGCCAGGAAAGAACACCGATCCTAGAAACAGTGCACAGATACTACACTTGTCTGAGGCAGGGAGCCACACTGATTGTAGAAACAGTGCAGAAATACCACACTTGTCCAAGACAGAATGCTAAGGAGCTACACACTGATCCTAGGATCAGTGCACAGATACTACACTTGTTTGATGCAGAGAGCGAGAGAGGAGCTACACACTGATCCTAGGAAGAATGCACAGATACTACACTTGCCCAAGACAGAGAGCAGCACTGATTCTAGAATCAGTGCACATATACTACCCTTGTCTGAGGTGGAGAGCTAGGGTGGAACATCGAGATCAACGCACAGATACTACACTTGTCCAGAGCAAAGATCCTGGGAGCAACGCACTGATCATAGGAACAATGAATAGATATTAGCCTGGGAGCAACACTGATCCTGGGAACATTCCACAGATACTACGTTTGTCCAAGAAAATTGTTAGGGAGCAACACACTGATCCTAAAAACTGTGCACAGATACTACACATGTATAAGGCAGAGAATGAAGGAGGAACACCTGGATCCTAAGAATAATGCACAGATACTACACTTGTCTGAGGCAGATAGCTGGGGGAGGAACACCTGGATCCCAGGGGGAATGCACAGATACGACACTCGTCTGGAAATCAACACCGGTTCTGTGTAGATTGCACAGCTACTACAGACATCAAGGCAGAGAGTAACAAAGTTCCAAAGTTAAAGTGCCAATACATATGTAAATAAACCTAAATATTTTTTTTTCTTTTTTTTTTATGAATTCTGTTTGTGTTGGGATTTTTTAAAAAAGCAAGAGAAAGTTGATAGAATAAAAATACTTCATCTGAAAAACATAAAATATTAATTTAGGTTAGTTTAATATTTAGACCCCACTTTAGGATGAAGTCAATATCAAAGTTATGTTCCTCTTTAATGACAAAATAATTGAACCCTTTACGACATTCAAAAAGACAGTCTGAACATTATATCTGGCAACTTTATTGAGGAGGTTTAAAATAGGCATTTTTTTTTCCCCAGCATATTCATGAAAAGCATTAACAATGATTTGTTTTTCCCCCCCACATGTTAACTCATGCTGCAAATGTTTGCTGGAATTTCCAAGTCAAGAAACATAAATGAAGAAAAATAAATCCTTCACCGATCAATTATACCAGAGAATGATTGAAGAATGCATCAGGCAAAATTTGATGATTTAAAAAAAAAAAAAAAAATCCACAATAGCAAAATCAATGCAACTATCCAGTGGCAAAACAAGAATGTTTAATCTCCAAATTTTAAGACGATATTTATTTGATGTTGTTTAGACTTGTTATGTGTAAGCCTGTATCAAACTTTGGTTTATCGGTAGTCGTGCTTTTCAGGTAAGGAACAACCGGATCTTTTAACAATGACATTGGCTGCATAATGGGCACAATTAATGCACTCAGAAATTGGCTTCCCATTAATTAGTTGAGCCAGGAATCCTAAAAAGAAAGGGAAAAAAAAATCAGGTAAGTTGGCAATTTTAAAGCAAAAGAAATTTAAGTATTAGTAAGCACATTTATAAAAAAAAAAAAAAAACAAAAAAAAACATGTATCTTTCCTGTCAATGCATTCACTTCAGTGTTGAATATTAATCATATCAATGAAACATGATATCACAAACATTTCAGATCGGAATTCAGTTAATACTGCTGACTTAGTGATCTACCTTGATTTATATATATATATGTATTTAAATAAAAAGAAAGAACAGCAAGATATATAATCCGGTGTTCTTATAGATATTTTTATTTTTACAAAATAGTGCTCAATGTAAATTTACAGAGCATTAATATTATAAATTAATTGATTTAAAATATGTTTTTTTTTCCGCTACTTAGAACTGTGTAGCGGAAAAAAAAACATATTTTAAATCAATTAATTTAATTATATATATATATATATATATATATATATATATATATATATATATATATATATAGTTAAATTCCCAGATGAATTCTGTAGACAAGACAAAATATATATATATATATATATATATATATATATAATATATAGATTGATTATATATATTGTCCATATATATATATATATATATATATATATATATGATAAGTAAATATAAATGGAATGAAGAAAATATCTGGAAAAACAAAACAAAAATCCTTAAAAATCATTCATATCAAAACAACATAATCGCATTTTAAGGATTTTTGTTTTGTTTTTCCAGATATTTTCTTTATATATATATATATATATATATATATATATTAATGGTCAGAATTGTATCAGACCAGGGAACAGTAGTATTAAAAAGTGTTTTTTTTTTAAACCAAAAATCCTTGCCCTCATATAAAACAATTTTTATTAAGTGAATATGAAGCTGGTTAAAAAAAATCTAAAAAAAAAAAAAAAAACACTCTTACACTTTAGACATGCAGCTCACCACATCCTCCATAACAATTAAGTTAAATATTTGATTTCCCTTTTTACTGCAAACATTTAAGATACACTTGTATTCCTGTCCTTTTCTATTCTTTCCTTCACCTCTTTTTCCACTTCCCTTCCCATTACACCCAATGTCCTGGTCTTTCAATCATCATACGTCTGTTGTTATTTTTTTTTTTGAAAGATAATTATGTAGCATTCTTTGTGGTTTTTTGAAATAAAGTATTAAATTGGTCATTTTGAAATTATCGCCCGACAAGACCGCCAGGTTGAAACCATGGTTCGCATACTTTAATTGACCTGATCTTTAATGTGTGTGTGTGTTTTCAACAATAAAATATATTAAAAATTTAAAATTATCAGACACACTGGCTTGTATGTTAATAATTTTTCGTTTTATTATTTCAATTAGGTTTCTCAACTAGTTTCAGACAGCATGGCCATCATCAGGAGAAAAAAATCCCAGCTTGTTAGTAGCAGTGAACTACAAGAGGGAATGATTGTCTCTGAAGAAAGTGAACTTTATCAGTAGTTTTCATTTATTTTTTTATTGTTAATTTTGGTCAGTCCTTGTGTTGGTTAAATGGCCTCTTTCAAGTTGTTTTTAAGATAGAGGATAGGGGATTCCTGATGTTTAGAATTCCCTCCTTGGTAATTTTGACAATTTTTCGGGTTGCTGGGAATGGAATGCCTGTGGTAAGTGCATGTTACCATTTAGTTTTTTGGGAGTGTGTGTGATGTGTGTATGTGTATATATTTGTGTAAGTGTACGAGACCTTAACACCTCTGCAAGCATGTCCGTCTTGTGTGAGTGAAAAATACATTATATATATATATATATATATATATATATATATATATATATATATATATATATATAATTTAGTTTATGAAAAAATTAGGTAATCCGTATGGGTAAACTCAAGGAGGATAAAATCCAGAGAGCTCAATGTATGTGTATGTATATGTGTGTGTGTATATATATATATATTTATATATCAGGAAATGGATTAAATCTTAAATTAGATTTATTTTTTTTAATTTCATTTATTCAAACGTTATTTTTCATGGATACTCATATTCGAGTAGAAGCTCTGTTTTTTTTAATTAAACAGTATTTTTTATCCAACTACATCTACTGGTTTGAATATTTGAGAAATTTTGTCAGAAAAATATGTATCCTAGGGTACAAAACGGAACAGATATGAATGTTTCAAGAAACAGTAGAGGGTGTGTTCAAAAGCACTATTTGGACTTTGTTTGACCATAAGTCCTATGTGGCTGAGCAGTTAGGCATATCAGATCTAATGAGGGATCCTCATAGGGGATGCAGGTTCGAATCATGCAGGAGGACGCATATTTTCTGACAAGATTTCTTGAATATTCAGGCTGATATTAATTTAAAAATAAATATATGTATATCCAAACAAGCTTGATTAAAATGTGTTGTATAGGAGTAAAGCCACGCTACCGACACTGTAGCTTGAATATAGATGACCAGAGAGCAAACACAGGCGATCCTATTTTGAATAAGTAGATCACATGATAGTAAAGGAAATATATATATATATATATATATATATATATATATATATATATATATGGGAATTAGTGTGTTTTCTAATTGATCATCATTTCTATTCTATCCTCTATTACTATACAGTCTGCTATTCACTATTTCTTCACTATTTCTCTATACTGATCACAATATGGATTACTATTTGGTGATTACTTTTCAAATGAGTATTATTGAGCAAGTACTATTATTGTAAGTGTTATTTGAAGGCATCTGACACCATTGTTCAAGTCCATTACTATAGTTGTATCTGCAATTACAAAGTCTCTACTACAAGAGCCTTACGAAAGTGACCAGTATTTGTTCACATTACAAAAGTGGCAACGAGTGTTTGTTGACATCACAAAAAAAAAAAGAACTGATAAAAGTTTGTTTTTTTTTCATTTTTTTTATTATATTTTTCTAATTTTCAGATATGCTCAAAGTTGTGGATAAATTTTCCAAAATCCATATTTTGTTATTTTTGTTCAAATACTTTCGACTATTGCAGTCATTATCAAGAACCGATGTGGTGTCCGTGTGGTAGTTAGAAACAATATTTGATATAAACAGAAAAAAAAAAAAAGTTTAGAATTTTGAAGTGAAAACTTTTAATCATTCTCAAAGAGTCAAAGGGAAATATACAGGTAATGTAATGGTTGACGAGCAAAGTTCGAACACTGGTTGAGTTTGTTGCATTCATTTTTGCACAACTGGAAGTGGAATTGGCGAACAGAGTTCAAATTCCGAGCAGTGCATTCACTTTCACACTCAGGCTTCAAAACGCAACATTGAAGGTGATGAATTATTTTCAACTATTGCTGTTTTCATGCAAAATGCTCTCTCAAGCTACCTTCCCTAGTTCCACCAGTTCAGACCTTTACAGCTAAGAGCCACCGTGCTATAGACACAGGGGCAAAAATGACCTGGTTTCCATCTCTATTCCATTTGTAAGGAGGAAGATACATTTGGACAGCGTATTGTCAAGAAAAGATGCCTCCCCAAATATTACAATCTTAATCTCTTCAAGTCCAAGGTAAATCATTATCTATCCTGTGCATTCTCATAGAACCTTATTCAGTAAAACTCTAAAATAGTGTAAAAGAGAAAAAGAAAAAAACAACTCTCAGAGACCCAAGACGTCATTTCTTTATATATGGTAATGAACAAGTAAATTGGTGACCAATCCATGAGAGCATTCAAAAGCGTCTACATGACTTTGTAAGTGGTGAATTATTTACAACCCTACGAATTCTCACAGGCACAAAATACCAAGCCAATTGCTATTTCCACGGAAAATGCTCTGTCGAGCTACATTCCTTCATTCCACCAGTTCAGACCTTTACAGCTAAGAGTTGTCATGCTATGTATAAAGTTAGTTATGTGCCATGCGTGACACACACTTAAGCAATCATGTATCTTCGATTTTTTCCCCACAGTAGGTTGCCACTTTTTCTGCAGTGGACCAGTTACCATCCAAGACTATAGAACCCGGTCTGTCTTGCTATTTTACCCATAGCTGGGGGAAGAAGAAGGGGATTCATATCTTTCCCAAGGTTTTTTTTTTTTTTGCTTTGACATGGACACTCTCTACCCTTGGTATAAAATAGGTCATCAAGAAACGTTGTTCTTACAACAAAACACAACATAAGCTCAGTAGTCTATTAAATGGAATAATGATGACAGAACATATCTTAAGACATAGTATGAGATCAATCAGTCAGTCAGTTATGTGCCATGCGTGACACACGCTTAGGGGATGATGTATCTTTCGATACATGACTGACTAGGCAGATTTTTTTCCCACAGTAGGTTGCCATTTCTTTCTGCAGTAGACCAGTTACTATCCAAGGCTGTAGAACCCGGTCTGACCTGCTATTTACCCATAGCTGGTGGGTGAAGAAAAGGATTTATAGCTATCCCAAGGATATTAGCATGTAAGTGAATGTAATGGATTCGACTGGAATTCGAACTTGGCTCTCCACTTTCTCAATCCGAGCCGCTATCCGTTACTCCACTGTTCTTCCTTTCAAAATCAGTTTAGTAAAATACGAAAATTTTTTTGTACTACGGTATTTCTCTGCAGGAAATTTGATTCATCATCGCACCAGACAATTTTTCTCATTTATCAATCTACACATTGAATACGGCTGCCATATCTGGTCTGATGCTCCTACTATATATCTGACAAAATTCAAAAGATGGGGTCTGTAATGTAATCAATCCTGACCTGGCATCTAGACTTTCAGGTTACTTTCTCTCTGTCTTTTCTATAAATATTTTCATGGCAATTGTTCTGACAAGTTTTCATTTTTGGCAGCTCAACCACATGAATTTAAGCATGCTACTAGATTGGTATCTAGGTCTCACCATCTTACTGTTGAACAAGCTAGATGCAACCATATGTTCTATTCTAATAATTTATTTTCCCACATTTCTCACCTGTAGAACTCCCTTCTGATTTCTTGCTTTCCTGCTGTATGTAGCGGTAGTCTCTGACTGATGCCAAATCAGTCGAGTTTCCATCCAGGCTTGAAGCAATCGGATGTCTAGCCACACTGATGAGCTGTAATACAACTAAACAGTCTGTGGATGACTAACAGCTGCTGCTCCTGCTTAACACATAGCTCTTCATCAGAATTGAGCACTCTGGCTGCTGGTCTAGCATTTATATACATCACATATATAATACATTAAAGGATTCATTTTCTCTGCCATGTGATGATAGCTTAGGGGTAGAGTCTCTAACTGAAGCCAAATCATTTGAGTTTCGATCCCGGCTTGAAGCAATCAGATGTCTAGCCACACTGGTGATACAGTGAGTTTGTCACACATATACATATAGCATTATTAATTGATCAAGAGTTATCCACTTTGGATTACAATTATTCCTTTAACCTCTAATTCTTTGTTTATATAATCAACCCTATTGTTTTTCTATGTAATTACCTCCCTTACTGGAATTCTTCTGTTAGTGAAGAGTCTAGTAAAAAGAATGTTAAAAGTTAAGATAGAATTATCTTATTAACTCGCCTGCCACCTACAATGTTCAAAAATTTAAATGCAACATCTATCGCAGTCTTCAGACTTCTTTACTCCTGTTCTTCTATTGTCATTTCTCCTTATATCTCCCAACTAAAATCTTTTCATTCTCTTTCTCTCCCAGTAACGTCTGGTATACTAGTGGCGTTATCTTTTTGCTTGGGGTGAAATGATTAAAAAAAAAAAAAAAAAAATCCCAACTTTATGAGCAGTCTGACCACCAATTTTTTTTTTTTATTCTTTTTTTTTTCCTTAAACATTTCACCCCAAGCAAAGCAGGTTGGTTGCTTGGGTTTTATGGCATATCAACCACTGTGGGTCATTTAATGCTAAATTAAGTTATACATATATATGTGTAAAAATATATAGAAAATAGGAAAGAACTCATTAGGTAAATAATCCAAAGTTCTTTAGCATTTTTGTTATTTTTAAAAAATAGTGCTCGATACAAAAGTAGAGCATAAATATAATTATATATATAGATATATATATAAGCAAATATATGGATATAGATCTGACAGTATGAAGAAAAATATACAGAAAAACAAAAATCCGAATATGCAATTATGCTGTTTTAATGTTAACATCAACATTAAATTAACATTAAAACAGCATAATTGCATATTCTGATTTTTTCCATTATATATATATATATATTAAATATATAGTACTATTAAATGAATAGCTGGCAACATTATTTTTTCAAAAACATTATCAGAGGCTTTGCTGTTGGATGTAGTTTATTGCCATACCCAGGACGCGGATGTAGTTTATCGCCATACCCAGGACGTGGGTAAGGTCTGGAAAAAACTGGGAGTTCACTATTTTCCCATAGCTGGGACCCTAATAGGTGCTACCACCCCGGGTCAGAGTGGACCTGGGAACACCAGCAATTAACAGGTGGTTCCACACTCCTCAAAACCTCCTGATCAGAAGCCTTGCTGTTGGATGCAGTTTAACATCATACCCAGGACGAAGCAAAGCAGGATTGCCACTGGTTCACAGGGTGTTTTCATGGAAAGAAGCTAAGAGAAAAACCGTGTATAGGGGGAATGAGTAAAGGATAAAAGATGAACAGGTTTCAAGACATCCGAAGACGGCAATTGATAACACATTTAAATTTTTGAAGATTGTAGTTATCTGGGAAGCAAGTCAACAGAAGGGAATTCTGCTGACGAGAAGTGCAAGAAAAGAAGCTCTTGGAGTAGAAGCAGCAGTTATATTTAACTATTTCAATGGTAAAAGGGTGGGACCTAGATGCCAGTCTAGTAGCTGTATTAAAGCTAATTTCTCACAAATGGATGACAAAAGATTGCACTGATAACATTTTATTGCAATTAAGAAAAAGAATACAAAAAAGAAACCATTCATCTCTTGAAAGTTAGATCCGAAGAATGCGGGATGTTTTTTTACTTAAAGGAACGATATATCAGAACATATCTGGAAGATAGGATCAACTTAAATTCTCAGAGTGCCGCAGCAGCATCTTTTATGTTCCTTCAAGACATGGGCAATCATGTTTTTTTTTTTTTTACAACTTCCTACCTTTGTAACACTGAACAATTCCTGCCCTCTTACTATCTCTCACAGTCGATAACCTGCTATCCATTTACACAAACTCCATTGATAGGTTTTTTAATGCCTCTCACAGCCTGGCCTTCGATATGTCCTTTTTCTCCAAGCCCTCTTTTTTCATTATATGTCACGGAGATTTCACTTGTTTCTTTCTGATTCTAAATACAAATGTTATTTGCATTCCAATTTTTTTTTTAAACTTCCTTATTGTTCACATGTTCCATTCATGGTATTCTCAGATTAGGATCAGCATGGAGAGCCTGAATCGCTCACATCCTGAAGAAACAGCACAGCTCATAAAACAACGAATAAACTCCAGATAAGAATCAAACTCACATTCATTTCTACCTTAGAAAGCTTGCCTATATATAGCAGCAACTATACAGGCTGACCTACCAGAGCTTTACGGCTAGCATAAGATCAAATCTAACACTCTAACTGCTGCATTGTGGCCTGATTGTGTTACTCATTTTTTTTCATTTTTTGGCAGGGCGGCAAGAGGATAAAAAAAACGGAACTTACCATTTACTGGGAATAAATGACATAAATGCAGCTGATGATTTCTCATGGACACTGCTATTTTGGTTACATTGAGTAATTGATTGTTTCTTTTTATGGCTTATCAACCTTTTGCAGGTTATTTAAAGCCAGAAAATATTTTTACATAAGAATTTTTTGGAGATAACAATGAATTTACAAGCCCTAATAACAGAGAGGGAAGAGATGGATTCATTCCTTTCTATAATGAACCCGACTGGAATTGGAACTTGTCTCCCCATTTAACAATTCAGAGCCATTATCTGTTACACCACCCACACATCCATGCTTACAGCACCTGGTCCACCCAGTCCTGGGTATGATGATAAACTACATCCGTGTCCTGGGTAAGACGATAAACTACGTCCAGCAGCAAGGCCTCTGATCAGGAGGTTTTGAGGAACGTGGAACCACCTCTGAATTGCTGGTGTTCCCAGGTCCACCCAGACCCAGGGTGGTAGCACCTGTTAGGGTCCTAGCTATGGGCTAATAGTTAACCCCAAAAATGGGGTAAAAACATTATGAAAGTGTAAAAATAGGTTTTACTACCAGAAATACTTTGTAAACAATTATTACCAGCAATAAATTTCTGACAAAAAAAAAAAAAAAAAAACTATAACCAGCAATATGTTTCTGACAAAAAATATTACCAGAAATAGATTTTTGACAAAACAAAATATTACCAGCAATAAAAATTTTGTCAGTATTAAATAATCTATTATGGTTGATATGCCATAAAATAAAACAAACCTGATCTACCCTTCTGGTTCTTGTCTGATTGTCAAAACTAAACAACATCAAATATGGTCAGTAATTAGATTGGTGACGGCTTTGGAATTCCAGGTACTGTAAGCTTGGATGTGCAGGTGGTGTAATGGATAATGGCTTAGAATTGGAAATCAGTGAGCCGAGTTCCAATTAAAGTTCGCTTATGCACAAATACCCTTGGGAACGGTATGAATCAACCTCTTCTCCCCTCCAGCTATGGGTTAAATAGTAGGACTTGTATCAGTAAATCATTATCATCTCCAAAACACTCTTGCAATCTAAAAATATTTTCTGGTTTTAAATAACAAATGTAAGTTTGTTAAGCCATAAAAAACAAATCAATCGAATTGAACCAACCTGTCTGAGTGTTTGGCCATGCAGCTGAACTTTGTGATGTTCTAAGTGAATTTGTGGAATTGCAGACACATTGAAGCAGAGCTTCTCAAACAGGGTGCACTAAAGCATCATGAAAGGTAGGTATGTCGTATCAGTAAATCATTGTTATTTACAAAAGTTCTCACAGTCTAAAAACATTTTCAGGCTTTAAATAAGTACAAATGGTTGATAAGCCATAAAAAACAAATCAATCAAACCTAGCAACATTATCACCTTGCTTGGGGTGAAATGATTATTTAAAAAAAAAAAAAAAAAAAAAAAAAGATTGGTTCAGAGTTCAAACCTTAGCTAAAGGCTATATCTTATATCTGATATGCGTTGCTTAGACAAGAGTTTGAGGAACCTGCAATGAAAAGCAACTGAAGTTCAGATAGCCACAATAAGAACCAAAAATTAGTAATCATTTTCTCCTCTGGAGTGCACATTGGGATCTAACGTATAACAGCTCTGAACAAGAAATCAAAGAGCCAAGTTCAAATATCCTTGGTAAAAGGTATGAATTCATCTCTTCTTCCCCTCAGCAGGACAAGTTAAATAGCAGGAAAGTGTAGGTTTTATAAAGCTTTGGGTGGCAACCAGTCTACCACAGAAAGAAACAGCAACCTACTGTGGGGAAAATCTTTGGTCTGGTGAATTGAAAGAGACATGATCACCCAAGCATGTATCAAATATGGCACTGAACTGATGCAGCTTCAACTACCTTAACTGCCAAAGCCCTCCACCATCAACTCCAGAAGGCTCAATTAATCATCAGTGTGGAATATGTTTGAGAAAAAAAATAAAAATAAAAATAAAAATAAAAAAATAAAATGAACTTACCTCCCACAAAGGCATCCCCAGCAGCGTTGGTATCGACAATTTTCGAAGATTCAACTGGAATAACATTATATTCTTCCACTTTACCATCTGGAGAAGGAAAAGGTACAACAACAAGCATCAAATATTTTTATCGTGAAAATTCAATTTTTATGTAGCTCATTGATAAAAACAAAAAAATAAAATCTCTGATTATACATCATATGTTGAAACACTGGTTCCTGTCAGATTAAAAAAGTTAAACATTGTTGAGCCTGGTCAATAACTACAAGAGTAACTACAAGGTGGTCCGAAAGTCTTGTCACCCCTACATAATATAATTTTCTATTTCAGATGGCTGACACGTTCCTACAGTTTGGAAGAGAGGGTTGGAGGAGGTGACAAGATTTTCGGACTACCTATAGATGGATGACTGCTTGGGAATATCAGGTGCGGTAACCTTGAATGTGCGCTTGGCCTAACAGACAACGGCACAGAATAAGAAATCCAACAGCCAAGATTGGTTTTGAATTGGCCGTGTTAGTTACATTCATTCACAAGCAAATACTCTTGAGAAAGGTCTGAATTAACTCCTTCTGCAACCCCGGCTGTGGGTTAAATAGTAGAACTTGTATCTGAAAATCATTATTATCTATAGATCTTGTTATTCACGTGCAAACAAACAAAACTCTTACAATCGAAAACCTGTTTCAGCTTTAAATAACCTACAAAAGGTTTGATAAACCATAAAAAAAAAAAAATCAATCTTTACAAATATTTTTCTATAGAGTATATTAAAAAAGTAATTGTTAGTACGACAAATGGTGTTGAAATTTCATTCTCATTCCTTATTTGGCCAAGTTAAAAAGAAAAAAGTGGGGGTTGTTTTTGCATGCGTATTAAAAAAAATGGTAAAATGCTAAAATTTGGAGGGAAAAAACAAAATATCGTTTATTTATATGCCATCAAATATGGTAGTATTTTTTTTATTTACAAAATTCAAGACAAATGATACAAACAGGAAAGAAAAAGATCCTGAAGAAGGCTGTGAAATGGCCCAACTGAAACATTGTGATAACAACACAAGCAATCAGTCTAACAGTCCATGGTTTTTGTGGAAAAAAAAAAAAAAAAAAAACTTTAAATATCCATATAAATTTAACCCTTTAGCATTCAACACACTCAAACCCTCCCTGTAAATATCTGCTCTCAGAGACTCACTGTTCGTCATCCTGTGTTATTTGCAATGTCATCATCATATATTATGGCAGAGTATGAGGCAGGTTGAGTATCGAGAGACGATATTTACAGGGCAGGTTTACTCCCCAGTCTTTTGAACAGGAGTAGAGGTTTATCTCTCGTTCCATGTTTAGGAGTGAGTTTCCAAATCCATCTTGAATCTTTTCATTCTCCCAGTAGCTCCTTGCGTATTAGTGGCATTATCTCCTTGCATGTGGATAAAGTGGTTAAAAAAAAAGGTTCCAGGGTTTGTTGAATGCTAAAAGGTTAATTAATCAGTTTCAAGCAAAAATAAAAAAAAATCTTTTTATTGAAGTAAAAATTTAATTTAAAATTAAAATACAAAAATGAAAAAAAAAAAAAAATTCTTTTTATTGAAAATTATTAAGATTTGATATCCCCTATTGAGTGCATACAAACTTAATTATAATTTACAGATACACAGCATTTGAAACAAATATGACTAATAAATCTGCTTTTATGTCTGTATAAATATTAACATATGAGAGATTTTCTACTCTTCAAGTAATACACACACAGTTAACACACTTTGAAATGGAGCCGAGCATATTTCTGTTAAATGTTAGTATGTATTCTTTTGTTTACTACTATGTCCACATGCCATGTATAAATAAGCAGGCAGTCAAAGTAACAGTCCAAGGAAAAATAGCAAGAGGAGTCATTAAGGTATCTAACCTATTTCATGTCATACAAAAAATGTCCCTAAAAGAAAAAACATTCTAAATCACCTCAACATTTTTTTTTTTTTTAAATAAAAATTTTAAATTAACATTTTATCTGCTTTCTTCTCTTTCTTTATGGACCATTTCAATACTTTTTACACGGCCAAATTTTCACCCCTCGACTTTGACCTCAAGGTCAAACAACACTTGGAATCATAACTTCTCAATGTTATAGAAGATTTCTTTCATATGGATTATACATCTTGAAGAAGCCTGTAGAATGGATCAGCCAACATATTGTGGTAACAGCAAAAAAAAAAAAAAAAAAAAACACAGTTCAATGAAATCACAGTTCTCAAAATGATTGACATTTTTTTTTTTTTTCCATGTTTGACAACATTTCAGCTGAGTCATTTCTTGGTTATCTTCAAGTGGAATTTTTGTCTTGTGTCTGGATGTTAGCAACAACAAAAAGTAAGGAAGATGGGAGGGGGGGGCTAAAAAAAAAATATGACTGAATATTAACTCATCTCAAAGTCTCAGACAAAACCTAAAATCTAATCAAAAAATACTGCCACAAGAACTGTCACCATGTAAGAAAAAGAAGAAAAGAAAATCAAAAAATGAAAAGAAGAACGCGAGGGAGGGGAAAAATGAAGGGAAACACAAAATGTCTGCCTAATGTGCTCATTAAAAATTGCTAAAGTATTGCAAAAAGAACAAAAACAATAGATTAAAAAAAAAAAAAAAAAAAAAAAAAGAATCTGTCAAAGATTTTGTTAATTCATCATAAATAGAACTTTGGGTTCATCTAGAGTAAATGAAGGATACACCAGATTATTGACAGATGAATTAATTTGAAGAATTCTAAGAAACAGAAGGATGTATAGTGGAGTAAAAAGACTGAGGAATCAGAGAGCCGAGTTTAAATTCCAGTCAAGTTCATTACAGTCACTTACATGCTAATACATTTGGGGAAGGTATGAATCTATCCTCCCCCCGCTATGGGTAAAATAGTGGGACAGACTGAGTCCTATAGTTCTGGTTGGCAACCACTGTAGGCGAAGGACAACTCTGAATTCAAAACCTGAAAACCTAGTGTACGGACCAAGGGGCAACCCACACCATATTCTGTGGTCTTTAGCTCTCGGTCAAGAACTCGGAAAGGAGATGGGTGCCACCAAACTATCTGAAAGCCCACTGAAAGGTTCATGAGGAAGAAGAATGAAAGTCTGTTTCTTCTTTCTTCTGCCCTCAGGTCCCCCTCCCTCCTGATGTTTGAGCAGTCGAGGCTTAGGAAAAAAAAAAAAAAAAAAAAAAAAAAAAAAGAAGCAGAACCAGCATTTTGATACCAGCACGAGAGAAATTATTCAAATTATTCAATATCTGAATTTTGATTGAATCATGTCAGATTGTATTACATGCATAAAACAAAAAAATTTTAAATAAAAAAAAAAAAAAACGGATCTTGTTAATGTAAAACACCAACACAAACAGCTATTCCTGAAGAATCGCTATTTCGAGATAAATTCATCACCTATTTTAATTTTACAGATTCCTCCTTTATTTTTTTTTTTTATTTTTAAATTATTATTTCGTTCTATTCACATTTTTTTAAATTCATTTGAGCATTATCAAGAAAAAAAATGCCTATGGCATAATAATTAAAAAAGAATTAAATTTTTTTAAAAAATAAAACAAAATGAGGGAAAAATACTCAATTTTCAAATATGATTTCAATTCAGCTTTAAAAAAAAAAATGTAACTTTAAAATACAGATTTAAAAAAAAAAAAAACAGCTAAAAAAAAACTAAAAAAAAAAAAAAACAGCTAAAAAAAACAACTAAAAAAACAACAGCTAAAAAAACAACAACTAAAAAAACAACTAAAAAAACAACAACTTAGAAAGCATTGCTACCAGGTGACAATGTATTAACATGTTATAACATTATTATGACACTGCCATTATTAACATAAAATCAGATGTTAATGTATTAAAATGATAACAACATTATTAACATTAGAAAATCAAGTAATGTTTTAACATTTATATAAAGGGAAAAATGAGAAAATTAGTTATATTTTGTTTATTGAGGTTTAGCCAACACCAATCAGGTGAGCTGGAATTCCAATAGGATTAGAAGCTGTCTGAAACAGAGGTGTAAAGAGATAGACAAATTTGATTTCAATATGTCCACCTCAGGTGAGTTATCTTCCATGAAATAAAAGACATGATAAGGTAAGGGGACAGAATTAGCACCAAGATGAAAAACAGTTCAGAATACAAAAAATAATAGTAATAACAATAATCCATCTAGCATAATGAATACTCCTCTACATAGATTTGAGCTGACAATTTCATCTTTATTTTTGTTGTTTTTTGAAGGGGGGAATGCACATTTATTTTCTTATTTACATTTTTTAAATTAATACAATTCTATCATTTTTTTTTTTTTTTTGTGGGGTTCTCAGCTTTGTTTTTTTTTTTTAAGTTTTGGGAATTATATATATTTATATATATATATATATATATATATATATATATATATATATATATATATGAATAAGTATGTAGCCTAATGATGAGAAAAGGCATTTATTTGACACAGCAAATAATTATTTTTCAACACAACCTTTATTAGAAGCCTTAATTTTATGGTGAATATTAATCATATAGTGAAAATTTCAGATCAAAATTCAGTTAATAATTGTGTCAGGTTATGGACTTATTGATCTATCTCTGTATTACATATGATTAAATATATTCTTTATATTAGAATGTACTTATAAGTGTTTAAAAAAAAATTAATGTTTTATGGGTTGAGAAGATACAAATTCCCCAATGTAAGTATATTTTTAAAAGTTATTGACCTCAAGATGTATTAGCATATGTGTGTGTGTGTGTGTGTGTGTGTGTGTGTGTGTGAGAGAGAGTATTGTCAGTGTGGACATAGGGATCAACACTGCATGGTGATTGTCACTTTCACACTGAGTGAAACTGATAATCACCATACAATGTTGATCCCTATACTGACACTGATAATATGTATGAAGATTATCACCAATACATCTTACCCTATACATAGAGCAAATTTTAAATTTTTAACTATTCATTATATTCACATTACTGAAAATTATATTTTAACTCTGCCATTTAGGCATGGAGCAATTTTTTGTTAACATACCTAT